GAGATGGTCAGAGGAGTCAGGAGATACCCGTTGCCGTAGGGTAGCCTGAAGACGAGCAGAGCAGGAGAGGAGGCGTTGAGTCTCAGTTGGCTCAGGGTTTCTGGGTCCATATAGAGAGGAGAGGTTTCTAGATGATCTTGAATTTGAGCGATCACTGCATTTGAGGCCGGCCACGAGACAGCGGGCAGCACCAGCGGAGAAGAGGAGGACCGAAGAGCACTCTGCAATGGACCACAGAGGAGAACAAATCAATGTAGTCACAATACTAACATTTCAAACTTGATTTCGATACTAAGAAATAGACTTGATACTCAATACTGATTCTGACGCCACCATGATAATAAAAAACACTGTTTCTTTAAACAATAGAATGTGATTTTCAACATTAAACGGCAGAACTTTCTTTCATATTCCCATGTGTCTTGTATGTGTGTAGTCGTCAGTGGTGCAGTAGGTTCATAGTGTCCATGTGTGTGTACTAGTCTATGTGCTCTTGTTCTGATTCAGCTCAACATCACTCTAAAGACATTCAGGAAAGGCTCCTGTCTATGGGACTTTTTATTATTGATACCTGCAAAAAAATGAGTATCTAGTTTCAATACTAGTTTTAGTATCGATTAGCATCTGGTTTTCTATAAATCTGACAACCCTAGAACAAATACACATTATTAAATTACAGATGGTTGATGGTATTTTCATAAGAAATCTCCAATATAAAAGGATGAGAACTTCACACATCAGTTACTTGAGATGGAGGAGCAACCCAAGAACATAGAGAATAATCCTGCACACCGTCTTACTTGCAAATTGTGAGATTTATTAGGACAAACCGTGCAACATTTCAGCACTAGGCCTTCGTCAGGCAAACAGAATGAGAGCTCAGGTGGCCATCTTAAATAGGGTGTGGCAAGAACCCAAGGGTGACAGGTCGTAAAGAAACAGTGTACCAAAACACCATAATTCAAAAAACAAAGACAATCAACAGACAGTGTAATAATAATAATAATAATAACAGAATATTAATCATAGGAGAAAAATCATTGAAAAATAATAGAAAAATTAAAATAAAATAGTGCTTGCCACACCCTATTTAAGATGGCCACCTGAGCTCTCATTCTGACGCCTGATGAAGGCATCAGAAACAAAGAAATGTTGCAGTTTGTTCTAATACATCTAATAAGTTCTAATAAGTAAGACGGTGTGTGTGATTTTTCTCTATGTTCATAACAAATCTCCAAAAGCCAAATCCCTGATCATTTCTATCAGTGACAAGGTAAATAGTAAATGTTAAATGCTCACATTTTTATACAACACTTTCCCACCTTCAAGGCTCAAAGCACTTTACATCAAGGAACCACTCACCCAACCACAAACCAGAGTAAGCAGACACTGGGGGAGAAATGGGGGTGAAGTGTCTTGCCCAAGGACACAACAACAGCATTCATCAGTGGGAGCTGAAATCACACCAGCCAACCTGTGGGTCAGTGGATCTGATCGCTCACCAATGATGTTTATGTTGAGAGCGGGATTCATACCTCCACAACCTTTGAATCAGTGGTCAAACACTCAACCAAATGAGCAACTGTCACCCCCCCCAAAAGTCCATTATCCCGCTGCATTTCTCCAATCACACCACAACCTCTGAAACACCAACATCTGCTGATAAACTAGAGACATCTGACCCGCCCCATTGTTTTCCAACACTACAGGATGCAGGAGGAAGGGAGGGCACCTGACACAGACAGCAACATGAAGTGTTTATTAGACAAATCCAACTTTATCCACCTTATTCTGCCCCGCCCACTTCAGTCTCTAAATGTGACACTTCTGATTAAACGGGGATCCCACTCATGTCAATGGAGAATTTGGGATACAATTTGCATCTTAAATATGGCAAAGTCGGGTCATTTGTGTAAAATGTTCAATGTTCATGTGACCAACAAATCACACTGCACCGATTCTCTGGAGACTTTAAAACAGCTTTATCATCCATATCGAATGTATTTGCTGTCAAGATCGACCCCACACAAAATAACACAAACTGAATGATGATGGAAATTCTCTCGGCAACTTCCAGAATAAGGTGGACAGAAACATTACATTTCATTTGTAATGTGGATTCTAGCTCCTGTTCCATCAGAGAGACAACAGTACATTCTACTACCAGTGTTGGGGAGTAACGGATTACATGTACTGGAGTTACGTAATCAATACAAATTATGAGTAACTGTGTTCAATTACAGTTACTGTTTCAGTGAGTGGTAATTGGATTACAGTTACTTTGTTGGAATAAATGGATTACACAGCAGTATTTTGCTGTTTCACATTTTGGCTAAACCAGACTAAACCAGACTAAACCTAAACCACTAAACCAGGACTAAACCAGGACTAAACCTAAACCAACTAAAAACTAAACCAGGACTAAACCAGGACTAAACCAAATCTAAACCAGGTCTAAACCAGGACTAAACCAGGACTAAACCAAATCTAAACCTAAACCAGGTCTAAACCAGGACTAAACCAGGAGTCTAAACCAGGACTAAAACAGGACTAAACCAGGATTTAACAGGAAATCCTGCTGCGTGGACGTGTTTCCTCCTCTTCTATCAATAATATTTTTAATTGGTTCAGTAAAGTCTGGGCATTCATTTTCTTTTAGCAGACAAAATATTTACCTCCGCCAAGGAGGTTATGTTTCATGTTCCTCTTTCATATTCCAAAGGCCTCTTCTGTGACGCTGTTTAAATCCAGACTCAACACATTTCTGTTTAACTGTGCATATAACTGAAAGGTTTTCATTCCGCACTCCTCTCCAATTTATGTCTCTCTTTTTTAATTAATTTATAATATATAATATAATTAATTAATAATTTAATCTTCATGATTATTTATGTTTTGATTTGTTTTTATTATGATGTTAATGTATTTCTTATTCTGTAAAGCACTTTGAATTACTTTGTGTACGAATTGTGCTATACAAATAAACTTGCCTTGCCTATGTTTTTGCCGGCGTTTGTTTGTTTGTTTGTTTGTCTGTTTGTTTGTTTGTCTGTTAGCAACATAACTCAAAAAGTTATGGACCGATTTTGATGAAATTTTCAGGATTTGTTGGAAATGTGAAAAGGAAGCACTGATTTCATTTTGGGGGTGATCCGGAAGAAATCCTGGATTCTGGATCACTTTGAAATTTTAGTTAACATTGTGGTAAATGGGGCCAAAAATTTTGTTTCTCAATATCTCGGTTAATTATTGACCAAACCCCATGAAATTTGACTCAGGGATGGACAATGGGATCCTCTTTCATATTCCAAAGGCTGATCTGGATCTGATCCAGAAGACTGATTTTATCGCAATTTATATAAAAAATGGGGGTAGTACTTGGCGGAGGTCTGCGCTCTCTGACTGCTTTTCTAGTTTATGTTGTGATTTCCTTGTCTTTGTTTCTCTACAGCAAATCAAGTAATCCAAAGTATTCAGATTACATTACTCACCTTAAATAATTTAATAGATTACGTTACAAACTACATTTTGGTGTATGTAATCTGTAATCTGTAGGGGAATACATTTTAAAAGTCACCTTCCCAACACTGTCTATGACCAGAACACCACCAAAACAGAAACTGGAAATCATGCCTTAAATTCTCACCTCTAGATTTGGAAACACACTGTCCTGTTTGTTTCCAAACGCCCCTCCGTACATGGTGAAGTCTTCAATGCTCATCATCTGTAAAATCAATCAGAAAACATTCATAAAAACATACATAAAACAATGCAATGAAATGCTTGTTAAAATGTTCATTCTTGCAGTCTGTACCTTGTCCTGCAGAAAAAGCACCACATTTTTAGGTCCCAGGTTCAGAGCTTTTTCCAGGTACGAAGACAACTGCTGCTGTTCCACTATGTGTCCAGCAGAGGGGGCAGTCTGGCTGGGCATGGAGGCTCTGTGTAAGAAAAGTCTATTTTATTTCAGTAGAAGTGGGTCTAAAACACTGGTTCAACATTTTCAACACCCATAGAAACAATTGCTGGAATTTGCAACCCTGAAACACAAAAAATTGGCTTTCCGCAAAATGACACACTATAGTTTTATGTAGTGTGACCAGACGTCCCAAGACAGTCCCAGTTATGAGCCCAGTGTCCCCTGTCTCAGCAGATTTATACAAAACCACTGATCTGTCCCAATTTTGTACAAGAAATGTCTCAGGTGTCCCTATTTTTGATCAATTTGGGCTAAACTATGATTAAACCAGGACTACATCAGGACTAGCACAATTTTAACTAATCTAGTCCCTGTGTTTGCAAATGACCATAAAGCGAAAAAATGCAGCATCAGAAGTTATGACTGACACGAGAATGCTACAGTCTCTTTTCACTATTTTATTTATACCAACCATTCCAACCCGAGTGTGTCTCAGTTTAGAACATTTTATGGCTAATGTTTGATTTAAAAAAAAAATTTTTTTCAGGATGTACGCCTAGATAATATGGGCTGATTTCACTATTATAAATGACTAGATTCCAAATATTTATGGACATTTCCTGTAAAATTGTCAAGTAATTCAGGAATAACCAGTTTAACAATCTGAGAGACACTGGAAAAATTACAATTACAGAACAACTATGATTATTATTAGCCTGTTGTAATTTCTAATTTTAATAAAATTCCACAAATATTGAGTCTGATAGTTTATTTACCACTATAACCACAACATCTGTCCTGCCCCCACCTCACTCCAACACCACAGAGATACAGGAGGATGGGAGGGCATCTGACACACAGGGACAGAAGAGGATGGGAGGGCATCTGACATATCTATCTGAAACCCTGCAATGACTGTTCTCCTCCTAGTGGCCAGGAACTGTATCTGAAACCGGACACTGCACCTGCACCCGAGATGTGCTTTTAAAAACGCACACAGCAACAAAACGGGAAATACTAATAGTCAATTTCTTTGTCAAATGAAAAAAAAAAAAAAAAAAAAGGAAATATTGCAAATTTTTAAGCGTTTTTTTTTTTTTTTTTTTTTTTTTGTTTTACGTAGGACGCTGTAATAACCTTGCATTGCCTCGGATGTGTCCCGTTATAGCACGACGCCGTAGTAGGTGGTAATATGGATTAAAATAAATGAATGAAATAAAAACACGCACCCTTCGCTGGTCCAGAGGATGAGCGGGACCTGTTCCTCGCCGTGACAGGGGGATAAAACGTAAAATAAAGAGAGAAAAAGGACAAAAGCTCGAGGGATGCGGCGGCGATGCGGAGATGCGAGATCCGAGCGGCCGCCATTTTTACTGAAGGATGAAGAAGACGAGCGTGCGTGGCGTGCGTCCTTACGTCACGTGACCACATCAAAGACAGGCGGAAAGGATACAGGGGCGGGGCCAACAGTATCAGGACCAGTTTCACCCGGGTGAGTTACACCTGGTTTAGACCTGAGGTTTAAAGATTGTGCTCTAAAGTCCCGTCCTGTCTGAAATGTTACATCATCATCTTCATCCAGTCAGATCCAACCAGTGGTCCTGCTGTCGAAGTGCAGTGTAGAGTCTGAAAACACTGCAGGAGGGACAGATACTCAACTCTTGTGTTACAGAAGCAGCTCCTGGTCAGGTTTAAGAGGCCCCCGGGTTGGTTTGGTGTTTGTTTATATCGTTTAAATGGCGCTTTACATCACGATCCACTCACACATTCACACACACTAATACACCAGTGTAGACAGACACTAGCGGGAGAGCAGGATTAAGTGTCTTGGTAAAGGACACAATGGCAGCATTCATCTGTGAGAGCTGGAATCACACACCACCAACCTGTGTCAGTGGATTTGACCACTGCACCAGCTGAGCTACTATTGCCCCTACTAGCTCTTAGTGTTAATAGTCCTGGTACTTTAGTCCTGGTAGTAGTAATGGTCTGGTTTAGTCCTGATTTGGTCCTGGTACTTTAGTCCTGGTGTAGTAATGGTCTGGTTTAGTCCTGATTTGGTCCTGGTACTTTAGTCCTGGTGTAGTAATGGTCTGGTTTAGTCCTGATTAAGCAAATCAGATCTGAGCACATTCGATGTTCGTAAGAGTTCGTCTCAGAGAAAATCAGAGACTCATTTTGTTTCAGAATCTGTATTTATTGGCCTTGACATAAGAAATTTGGCAGAAATTTTAAACAACAGCTCTGTAATTGGATCTACTTTATTCTAATGTGTTAAGGTTATTGTACATATATTTTCAGGTCTCATAATCATATCAGTCCATATAGAAATGATCTACAAATCACTTTCCATGTCATAATAACAAGTCTCCATGTTTACACACATGTGCATTAAGCTGCACATTTAGAAGAACAAAATAATCACGCTGCTGCTGAAGGCAGCAAAAACTTTGGGTGTTTTTGACCAGAACATTAACTAATGCTTTTGAAACACCATACACAAAGTTTAGCAGCATTTCAGTGTTTAGTTCCACTTTAAAGTTATATAATGTAACTTTTCTTTCGTGAAGTTCTTACCTGCGTGTCTCCATGGAGATGAAATTGCTTTGCCTGGATGTTCCTTAATATAGTAATAAATAAATAAATGCAAAATGGATGAGGTTTTTTTTTTTCCTTAAAAGTGCTTCCAGAAAAGTTACATAGTGGTGCTTTAAAATGGGTAGTTTCAGTGACATGTTTTTCTAGTTATGGATGCTACTTAAAGGAATTTTGACCATTCAAACTCTAGATTTATTTGTTTACAAGTGTTCATTTGTTCATGGTTCAGTGTGAGGAATGTCGGGTTTCTCATTTGGCAGATTTCTATGATCATGGTCCTAATGTGACTTTGTTACTTGAGTTTCTACAGTAAACCTTTTAGCCCAGATGCCCTTCCCGTTTCAACCAGCCACATGCTATGGCTGTGGAGTGGACTCAGAGGATGTCTTGACGAGGGACACAACAGCAGCACATGTTCTGACGAGGTGTGAACCAGTGAGCTTCTGGTAAGTGGGTGAACCCTGCGCCCACTGCACCACCATCGCCCCAGCACTTGTGATCAGTAATAAACAATAACCAAACAATTCCATGTCCTTAGAAAATGTCCTTCCTGATTCTCAGATATAGTTGTGTTTTTCTGTAAAATCAGGAGTTAGTTTGTGTCTGTCTGTGAAGAGCTTCAGCCCGCGGTTTCAAACTCCGAAACTCCGCCTGAATAAAGTCTGTTAAGGTCTTCCTCATCTCCAACTGCAACAAGAGATTTATATGAGACTGTGGAAAGTTTAAATATACCATTTATAATTATTACAATTTAGAAAAAGCTAATAATGTCTGTAGAGAATAAGAATTTAAAGTGGGACTAAACCTAAACTCCTCCCACAAGCACATTTATATAGTATATTTTGCTCTAAAGTTGCCAAAAACTGTCTAAGAACAGTAGATACACTACTCACAATAAGTTAGGGATATTGTTATTTACATTAGTGCTTTTCCTATTTGGTCTGAATTTTTATGAAATAAGTAAAAGTTCCCTTTGATATTACTAAGAATGAATGAGAAGAAACACCATTTTCATTAGTTTAATATTTATTACCCCCAAAATTTAGACAATAACAAGGATAGCCCCAAGCAACAAAAATGAACAATGTCAGTAGCGGGTGTTTCCACCATTTGCTGCAATGACAGCTTGACAGCGACGTCTCATGCTCCTCACAAGCCTCATGATGTTGTTCTCAGGCAATGTGTTCCACTCTTCCACCAGTGCTACATGCAGTTCCACCAGGTCACGTGGGGGTGGGCTACTATCATCCAGTCTCTGCGTCAGCTGGTCCCAGACATGCTCTCTGGGGTTCAGGTCAGGGGACAGTGCTGGCCGTAACATGTGAGGCAATCCCACTTCCTGAAGTCGAGCTGTGACAATTCTGACACGATGTGGTGGAGCATTATTATCCATGAACAGAAAGTTGGGGGTGCTGGTGAAATTGGGGGATGATGATGGGTTCAATGAAGTCTCTGAGGTAAGAACATGCAGTGACTGAGCCATCTACAGTAACCACATCTGTTTTGCGCTGACTGGTGATGCCTGCTCAGACTGTTGCACCTTCTCCACCAAAGTGAACCCTGGGGACCATGTTGACCTCGGCGTATCACTCACCTCACCTTATCCAGCAACACTGACAGTCATCATTTCTGTGCAAGGTGACCCGACACTCATCAGTGAACAGGACGGTGGACCACTGCTGCATTGTCCAGGTCACATGGTCTTGTTCTCACTGCAAACATTCATGGTGGTGTCTTGGTGTCAGTGGAGTCACCTGCAACATCGTCTGGCATTCAAACGAAAACGGTGGAGTACGTTGCGAATGGTTTGTCTGGAAACTCTAGAACCCCTCACATCTCGTAAACGAGCCCGCAGCTGTGTGGCAGTTGCATAACGATGTCTGAGTGCATAGGTCCTTAAGTACTGGTCATCGTTGCGGTCTGGCACTCTTTGGGTTCCACTCCTGGGTCTGTCACCAACTCTGCCAGTAGTTCTGTGTCTTGATGCAAGTCTGCTGATGACACTTTGAGACACATCAAGTTCACGAGCAACATCTGCCCGCCTGCCACCGACCCTGAAGGAGCGGTATGGCTAGGTGGCACTACTCGTCTGTTAAGTGACGTTAATGTGTTCATGGCCGTTTGAATTGTGAACTTGGAATGATTTGACAATACCAGCTTTTTATACCCACAGAATGTTGAAATTGATGCCACATTAAAAAGGGTTTTGGCTCCAATATGTAAGGCGCACTGTACACACTGAGACCATTACATGGAAAACACAAAATGAGGTTTGTCTATCACCCCAATACAATTGCCTCCCTATCCCAAAAGTTTCTGAAGTGAAACAAACACCGTATATATGACATTCACTGGCTCTCTCTCAATATCCCTAACTTATTGTGAGTAGTGTAATTCAATTCAAACACGAGACACTCACAATTTAGCAGCAAAACAAGCAGATTTAGTGTTTAGTTCCACTTGAATGGCTTAAATGACTCTAACTGATTTAATAACTGAGCATAATTGAAACTCAGAACAGAAGCACAAACCTGAGACTTGTTTTCAGCTCTGAGAGATTCGACCAGGTCTTTAACACTGAAGGGATTTCCCACAAGAACCGTGATCCTCTGAAAGAGAGACAAGGAATTATGACAAAGCACTAACATTTTAATCTGCGATGTTAAATGGGGCCATACTATACTATTTTCTGATCTATGTTATAATGTTACCTCATCAAAAACATTTTCACTCACACATATAATCCTTTATGATTAGTCTGTCTACATCTCCAAAGCGCAAACTGCTCTGTTCCACCTTGTGATGTCATGTAGTGGTAGTTTCAGGTATGTTTTTGATGAGGAAATAACATTCTAACATAGATGAGAAAACAGTGTGAAGAGCCCTTTGAATGATTCACTGATGGTGTCTTGCCTTTCCCGTCTGAGGTATGTAGGGCTTCTCATTGGGCAGAACGTCACTCAAACCTAAAAAACAACTATTTGTTTTAGTGGTAAAAAGCCTGATGTGATGAATATCATAATACAGGGCAGCAGGTTATAAACCATGAAGTGTGTTGTGTTGTGTTCAGTTTGTAACTTTCTGGAGGTAGAAATTCAACTGCATTTGTCTTTAATGAAAAAATAAACATAAAACCATCCTTCAGAACAGATCAAATGTTTTCTGCTGCAGTCATACTGTGGATGAGTACAGCCAAAGGAACAACATTTCCATGGAAACAAGCAGGAGAAGTCCTCCAGGCCAAATAAGAGTCAGGTTTGTGGAGTTGAAAGCCTGCTCACAGTCAGGACACATGCTTTTCTATGTTTTTCAGTCCAAAAAAGAAGAAGAATATGACGACTTCTGACAAAAAAAGTTACATACTATGTCTTTAAGTCACTGTAAGTGTTTGTTCACTCTTGCACATACATCACATCCAAATAAGGACTAGACCGGGATTAGACCGGGACTAGACCGGACTAGACCGAGACTAGACCGAGACTAGACCGAGACTAGACCGAGACTAGACCGGGACTAAAAGGGGTCTACAGTAGAACGGGACTAAACTAAGTCTACATTAGGACTAACAGGGCTCAAACCAGAACATGTGTGAACCATAGACTGAGATACATAAATGGACATAGCTAACGTTCTAGCCACCATGTTCCAAACAGGAAGTTCTCATGTGGGTTTTTCTGGCTCCTTCTGACTCTGGCTCCCATTGACTTACACTGGTATATTGTGGCTCCTCTCTCTCTCTGCTGTGAGCTTCATTTATTTATGTATTTATTTATGTATTTATTATTTATTTATTTATGTATTTATTTATTTATTTATTTATTTCGGTCACAGGTATATTTTGACATTAATTCATAAACAGTCATATTTAACATATACAGACCGAAAAGGTGCAGGCTGAAGCTTAAGCTTATTCTGCCTTTACCCTTTATTCCTTTGTCAGAGCTTCATCTTGACACCAGTTCATCTTCATAAATACAGCAGGAGGAAACAAACTAATCAGTAACAGAACAACAAAGTATTACAGCACAAACTAAGTCTCATATTTCATGTATCTGTCCAGAGTTAAACATTTAAACTTCTTTATGAAGTGAAAGAAAGTGGTGCACAATTTTAGGTTTTCTGTACAGTTATTCCAGAGCTCCACATTAATTTGGTCTTAAAATGTTTCTATTAACCCGCTCTAGGTGATCCAGTCTGTGGTGTGAACTCAGCCCAAATCAGCAAATGTGTCTCAGTGCATGACTCACCCACGTGCCACAGAGGTAATATTACGGGGTTTAGGGAACACTCCGCTATGAGTCGACCAACACCTGCAAAACAACACAGAGCTGCTTTAACATTCCTCATATATCTCCATGGGTCATGCATGATCTTCACTAGAGCTGAAAAAACACTTACCCCATTTTAACCGAATGAATTCTTCTGTCATGTTAACTTTCCCTGTTAGAGGAGGACAAACTGGGTTTTAATCATGCAAACACAAAAGGAAACATCGGTAGTTAAAGAACATTATGTAACTTTTCTGGTGGAGGGTTTGCCATTGCTTGTCTTCATGGAGAAATTATGGCTTTGCAAAATTTGTGTTCTTTCTGTGAGCGGGACAGATCTGACCTGCCTGCTGGAGTTACCCATGGATAAGTTTAATGCCATTTCATTTCACAGCATGGCAAACATTGGCAGACGGCAGGGGGCAGACGTTTCCACCAGAAAAGTTGCACAGCACTTTAACATTTACCTTCAGGAAATATATGCACCCAGTCTCCATTATTTAATTTCTCCAAGACAAAATCCATGCCTTTTTGATAAACACCGTCACCTAAAACAGCAGGTCAATGAGAAAAACACTGGAATTGTATGTACTCCATAGAAAATAGAATAAAACAGCAGAGAGAGATGCAGGAAATCAAACAGAACTGTACCTCTCACAACAGGAACACATTTCCCACGACTGAAGAACTTTGAGTAGAGTTCTTTAGTGAAGCAGATGTCTGACGCAGCCGGTGTCCTGAAAGTCCAAACCAGGAAAATCCAAAAAATATTGTATTATTTATGATTAACCATTAAAATATGAAGACTTTCTCTGTAAAATTCATATCATGTATTCACCAGCGCATGTTTTTGAAGTTCCACAACTGTCTGAGCCGGAGGATGCCTGTGGAGAGAAGAACACTTCTGAAGAACATTGAACTCAAACAGGGATGATGCCAGGTCCTGTTCTCCCCCTCTCCCCCTTTTTCTTACCCCTCTCTCTCCCTCTCCTCTCCCCGTCTCCTTTCACTCTCTCTCTCCTCTCCCCCTCTCCTTTCACTCTCTCTCTCCTCTCCCCTTTCTTCTCTCTCTCCCTCTCTCTCTCCCTCTCCCTTTCACTCTCCCTCTCCCCTCTCCCTCTCTTCCTCTCTCTCTCCCACTCTCTCCCTCTCCTTTCACTCTCTCTCTCCTCTCCCCCTCTCCTTTCACTCTCTCTCTCCTTCTCCCCCTCTCTTTCACTCTCCCTCTCCTCTCCCCCTCTCCTTTCACTTTTCTCTCTCTCCTCTCCCCTCTCCTTTCACTCTCTCTCTCTCTCCCCCTCTCCTTTCACTCTCTCCTCTCTCTTCTCCCCCTCTCTTTCACTCTCTCTCTCTCTTCTCCCCTCCCTCCTTTCACTCTCTCTCTCTCTCCCCCTCTCCTTTCACTCTCTCTCTCCTCTCCCCCTCTCCTTTCACTCTCTCTCTCTTCTTCTCCCCGTCTCCTTTCACACTCTCTCTCTCTTCTCCCCCTCTCCTTTCACTCTCTCTCTCTTCTCCCCCTCTCCTTTCACTCTCTCTCTCCTCTCCCCCTCTCCTTTCACTCTCTCTCTCTCCTCTCTCCCCCTCTCCTTTCACTCTCTCTCTCTTCTCCCGTCTCCTTTCACTCTCTCTCTCCCCCTCTCCTTTCACTCTCTCTCTCTTCTCCCCGTCTCCTTTCACTCTCTCTCTCCTCTCCCCCTCTCCTTTCACTCTCTCTCTCCTCTCCCCCTCTCCTTTCACTCTCTCTCTCCTCTCCCCCTCTCCTTTCACTCTCTCTTCTCTCCTCTCCCTCTCCTTTCACTCTCTCTCTCTTCTCCCCGTCTCCTTTCACTCTCTCTCTCCTCTCCCCCTCTCCTTTCACTCTCCTCTCTTCTCCCCTCTCCTTTCACTCTCTCTCTCCCCCTCTCCTTTCACTCTCTCTTCCTCCCCCTCTCTTTCACTCTCTCTCTCCTCTCCCCTCTCTCTCCTTTCACTCTCTCTCTCTCCTCTCCCCCTCTACTTTCACTCTCTCTCTCTCTCTCTCTCCTCTCCCCCTCTCCTTCCTTTCACTTTCACTTTCTCTCTCTCTCTCTCTCTGTCTGTCTTACCCCATATATGCGACTTGTCCCTCCATCTCTCCCTCTTTCTTTTTACCCCAGATGTACACGTTGTCCCTCTCCCTCCCGCTTTCACTCACCTCATGTATGCATGTTGTTCCCTTCCAGTGTTGGGGAGTAACAGATTACATGTACCAGAGTTACGTAATCAGAGTACAAATTATGAGTAACTGTATTCAGTTACAGTTACTGTTTCAGTAAGTAGTAATTGGATTACAGTTACTTTGTTGAAATAAATGGATTACATGGCGGTATTTTCCTGTTTTCACATTTTGGAGTAAACCAGGTCTAACCCAGGACTAAACCAGGTCTAAACCAGGACTAAACCAGGTCTAACCCAGGTCTAAACCAGGTCTAAACCAGGTCTAAGCCAGGACTAAAGCCAGGACTAAACCAGGACTAAACCAGGACTAAACCAGGAGTAAACTAGGAATAAAACCAGGACTAAACCAGGTCTAAACAGTATGACACTAACAGTAGGTGATCTCATATAAAAATCATTTCTCTATCAATAATATTTTTAATTTGTTTAAGGAAAGACTGGACTTTTTTATTTTCTTTTAGCAGATAAAACATCTTATGTTAAGATCCTAGTCTTTGCTTCTCTACAGTAAACAACTGTATGGAGATTTTAGAACAATTTGAAGAGAACAAACAAGAATTTTCAGGATGTGGTTGGTGCATTCATGTAGTTTTAAAAAACATGACAATATCAAGTAATCCAAAGTATCAGATTACGTTACTCACCTTAAAGTAATTTAATGGATTATGTTACAAACTACTTTTTGAGGTCTGTAATCTGTTGGGGAATACATTTTAAAAGTCATCTCTCTCTCTCTCTCTCTCTCTCTCTCTCTCTCTCTCTCTCTCTCTCTCTCTCTCTCTCTCTCTCTCTCTCTCTCTCTCTCTCTCTCTCTCTCTCTCTCTCTCTCTCTCTCTCTCTCTCTCGTCTCTCTCTCTCTCTCTCTCTCTCTCTCTCTCTCTCTCTTCTCTCTCTCTCTCTCTCTCTCTCTCTCTCTCTCTCTCTCTCTCTCTCTCTCTCTCTCTCTCTCTCTCTCTCTCTCTCTCTCTCTCTCTCTCTCTCTCTCTCTCTCTCTCTCTCTCATCCTATATAAGCGGGTCGTCCCTCTCTCTCCCCCTTTGTCCTTACCCCAGATCAGCGGGTCGTCCATGCAGGACTGGTGGTTGCTCAGGGTGATGAGGGGAGTGTCTGGGGGTCGGGAGTCCACCAGCTGCATCAGAGTCTCGTGGTTATGGACGCTCAGGTGGTTCATGTACTCTGAGGAACACACAAAGACCAACATCGTTCAATTGTAGCATACTGAATTTAAATTTTACACTGCTGCATTCTTCAGGTCATTATAGAGCACATTATCCTCAGGCCATCAGGAAGTACGCTGTTTGCATGCATGAATAATTAGGATGCTCTGATGCATGAGGTAAGTGAGGAAGAACTTTGGACATGTTTAAAACAAATTAGAATATACTTATAGATCATGTTGTGTCCTAGATAATAACAATTACCGATTAACCAAATAGTATGACACCTCAGGCTTTGACTCTGTGGTGAGCAATTACAATCTCATAACTTCACTGCACATTTGAGTGCAGTGTTTGAGAGACGTACTGGTCCAGAGGAAGGCGTAAGAGCCCACCATCCCCATCACCACAGTGCTAGTGACCCTCCAGGCCAGCGGGGGGCACTGGGGGAACGGCCATTTCACCTCCATGGGCATGACTGCGCTCCTCCTCTGGGACGACATCCACACAGCGCCCCCTGGTGTGTAACACAGAGACGGAGTGAGGTTAGACCATTAGACATAAGAAAAAGTACAACAGATGCATTAAACAGGGAGTGAACAGTACAACAGAATCTGAGTTTTGAACCTTGTCATTTAAAGCAGCACTATGTTTTTTGGTTTTTTTCTGGAGGAGGGCCTGCAACTTGCTTGTCTCCTTGGAGATGTTATTGGTTTACCTGGAACGTTCTGCTGTATGCAATTAAATGTATGATTCTGACCCTATGGTTGTACTAGAGTGAAGTTATAATGCTACTTTTTTAGTAATAGAATGTCATTTTGAATAAAAGTAGTAGCACCATGAGATCTTACATTTGTTCTGATAAAGTTCAAAATGACACGAAAACTGTTCAGGAAAACTCAAATCTTGTCCTGTGAATGTGATTTTTTTTATTTATTCATTTATTTTTTGCAGTATCAAATTGATACGTTTAAATTAGTTTCTAGTTTTATTATCGATTAAATAACCCTTCTTGAACACGTGAATCTCAAAGTTTAGGACTTGAATTGAATTTATTGACCTAAGTTACATTATTTTCTTTTCTATGTTGTAATGTAGTTTCCTCATCACAAACAGACCTGGAGTTGTGTTTTGCTTAATTCACACATGTTTAACACACAAACCCTGCATATTTAGGCTGAAAACACTCCTTGGGATGTCATCATGTGGTAATACAGGAAGTGCTCCACTGTGTTTTTAAACTCCATAAGCTCCACTGTTTTAAAATTTTAAACTTCACTAGAATCATTTGAATCATTTCAGCCCTGCAATTCTCCATTTCTGTAGAACAAAAGGTAAATGTAATATAGTTGTTCACTTGAAAACTACCACTTCATGACATCACAAAGTGGAAGAGACCATTTTGAGTTTTGGGGGATGCAAACATCTTTATAATCCAGGATTAATCAAACATTTGTGAATGAAACAAGATGTGCAAATCTGTGATTTTATACTTTATAATTTATCTTTCTATGTTATTTTGACTTGAACATATACATTTATATGTATGCCTTATTTGACACCTGTCTCTTGCTCTTTTTTGTGACTTATTTAGAATTTATTATTGTCATTTATATGTTTGTTGTTTTTATATTAAATTGTGATGTGTGCGCTCCTGTGTCCAAATCATTTCCTTTGTAGATCAATAAAGTTTGTCTAACAAAACAAGAATTAATTTTGTGTAATATTGGATCTTTAAGACCAAATACTAGAGACCTGGCTCCACTTCTAACATGGAGACAATTGGAAGAGTGAATTAAATACAAATATAAAACTACGAGGTCTGTCTAAATGAAATGAACAACATTTCACATGGATGTATGCATTTATTATTTCATTGTATTATCGAACAAATAAGACCATACAATTACTCAGTACTTAACATGAAATAAGAGTTAGTATGTCTCCAAATCCCTTTCCAAAGCACCACTGGGAATTGTTGGTCGTTTCAGAGCAGTTCAGTAGGTCAAAGGGACACACACAGATAGTGCTCCCTGCTCTGTTTCTCAATGTTTTATTCAGAGTTAGATATTAGTTTATGTTTTTATACAGCTTATTCTGATAATGCAAACATAAAAATATCATATAGCTAAGAAGAGTGACTTGTTTATCACATGTGGGAGAGTAAATGTGCTGCCATAAAGAGTAAATGCAACGTTGTCCATTTCTTCAAAGCACATTCCGTAAAACTAAGGAACAATTAAACAAATTAATAGAATAAAACGCTCCTAAAGACAAAAACAGATGATTGTGAGTGACTACTTTAAAGATCGAGGTAACTTTGAGGCTAAAAAACACAAAAGTAAAGTCGTATTTACCTCATTCACTTGCCGCAGCCTGGCCGCTACTTCCGGAACAGGAAACGCAGTGGATTATGGGTAATGTAGTTTTAGGAGTAATACTTATTCGGCCCACCAGTGCGCACTGTTTTCAGCTTTTCCTGTCATTAATATTGTAAATATTATTCACTTTTATTTATTCACTTATTTCACAGTACATAAATCAACTCTTTTCAAATATTGTTTCTATGAAAAAAAAAACAAAAAACATACTTAATCCCATAACTAATGGTAATATCTGAAAGTTCTGCTTTCTGACGATTTGAGATACAGTGAGTTTCTTTGGTCATAGCAGCTGTTTCCCTCTAGATACAAAGGTCATCTTGGTCTTAAATTGAAGCTTATGAACATGGGAAGTTTTTCATGTACATTTGAGGCAGTGATATATGCAATAAAATGCTTGAAAATGATCACATTTGATGAGAGTTTGTCAGGTGGACAGACATTCTTTTGTCTTTTGGTGTATGTTGAGGGTGATATTTGACAGTAGAAAGGCAGCAAGCCCCAGAATATTTTTCTGCTAGTTTCCCCCATGTGTCAGGATACACCATGCCAAATTTTAGGGTTATTTGACCACGTATGCAGTTACAGTACCTTAATATTTACAGTTACATCATTTCACAAATAGCTTTTCTTAAAGGGTGTTTTTTGGGCCCTGAGACCAAACGGGGTGGAGTTGGGGTTGGTCCCTATCAACTCGTGACGGCCCAAGATATAAGATAAGAGTGAAAAAAAAGGAGCAAAAAACATCCTGAGGGGTGAACCTGGCTCCCGGCCAATAAGCAGTAGTTTTCAAGTTAACAGACACATTTTACCTTTAGTCCAGTAGGACTTGGAAGTTCAAGCTTCAAAGTCCTAGTTTAGTCCCAAATGTTTGTGCATTTATAACTCCTGGTTAGTAGGCCATGAAGGTTTAATCTTGGTTTAGTGCTGGTTTGGTCTCAGATATTAACTGGTTTAGTCCTGAATTAGTCCTGGTCCTGGTTTAGTCCTGGTTTTATTCACACATAACAAATTAATTACAACAGTTTTATACATTTCTTTTTTATTATTTTTTAGACAATAATTACAAATGTAGCCCTGAAACACAATAATAATATATAATATATACAAACCAAACATTATTCACAGGTAAAAATTCAAATATGGATTATAAAATTATAGCCGCAAGCGGCGTCGAACAGCCCTCACCTGTCGCACCCGCTGCGCCTCGCAAAGGTTGTGTCCCACAAACACCGAGCCTCACACTAACGCTAATATCTGTAAACTCCAACCTCAGGTCTAATCCCTAGCCCTAAGCCTAACGCTAGGCCTAAATCTAAATGTTACTCTAACCTTAAACCTAACCCTAGTCATAACCCTAACCACAGCCCCAACCTCAACTCTAACCCTAGCCCTTACCCTAACCCTAACTCTTAACCTAACCCTGCCATTTTTCTAACTTTGTGCTCCAACACATCCTCCACCAGAAAAATTACATAGTGCCCATTTAAATGTTTTTTTTTTTGTCTTTGCACCCCCTGCTGGCCAACCATGAAAAATGCCCAATGCCAATAAAATATGTTTTTGCGTCTAGTTGTTCACAGAATTTAATTTCCAAATTTGGTACAAATTGGGGGAAAATGCAACGTCAGCAAAAATGCAGTGTCAGTACTTAGACAATTTCGTCAGGGGGCGTGGCCATAATAATATCTTTGTTTGTCTTCACATGATGAATGTGTGTACTGAATTTCATGCCTCTACGACAAAGTTGACATCGGGATGTCTCCCATAGGCAAAATTATTTTGACTTTTCCAGGTGGCGCTGTGTCACCATTTTGTTATGTCCGTGCACGAAACCTATATTTTATCGAATTTTTTGCCACTTCTGAATTTTGGGCAAAGTTTGGTGAGTTTTTGAACATGTTTAGGGGGTCAAATTAGAGCTCAAAGAGCAGAATAATAATAAGAATATTAAAAATAATAATAATTAAAGCCGCAAGCGGCGTCGAACGGCCCTCGCCCGCCGCGCCCGCCGCGCCCGCCGCGCCCGCAAACACCGCGCCCACAAATGGTGCGCCCCGCCAACACCATACCCTAAACGCCGTGTCCGCAAACTCTGTGCCTGCAAACAGTAAAATGACATAGTACGCCTTTAGATGTTCTTTGCGCCCCCTGCTGGCCAACCTTGAAAAATTCCCATGTCAGTAATATATGTTTTTTCTTCTAGTCATTAATAGAATTGAATTTCCAAATTTGGTACAAATCCGACAATGTTGACGTTTCATGTCTATGGTAGGGGGCGCTATAGTGTTTTTTCATATGTTTTATAGTGTATTATATTCAGACTGAGATCACACATTAGTGATTCAAATTTCAGCACGATTGGACTAAGTCTGTGGGAACAGGAGCAAATAGTGTCACCTTGAAATTCGCCAAAACTTTGACCAAATTTTGCGGCTTCGCCGCATGTAAACCGTGACAGTTATCAAAAAAAATCAGCTAACTTTAGATGTTCGACTTCTCTAGATGATGTACGGTGATTTTCAGCCCTGTGGGTGAAGCGCCTTCAGAGGAGTTCGTTCAAACGCAATGTGAACGAAAATGCGGACTGAAAATTCAATCCAAGATGGCCGCCTTCTGGTTTGTCAGGGGGCGTGGCCATAATAACATTTTTTGTTTGTCTTGACATGATGAATGTGTGTACCGAATTTCGTGGCTCTACGACAAAGATGACGGGGACGTCTCCCATAGGCGCCAAATTTTTGAGTCTTTGCGCCCCTGCTGGCCAACAGTGAAAATGGTATCATGTCCATAATATAATTTTTTGCTCGTAATCATGCATAGAATTTAATTCCCAAATTTGGTGCAGATCTGACTATGTTGACGTTTCATGTCTATGGTAGGGGGCGCTATAGTGTTCACTTTTCATATGTTTTATAGTGTATTATATTCAGACTGAGATCACACATTAGTGATTCAAATTTCTGCACGATCGGACTAAGTCTGTGTGAACAGGAGCAAATAATGTCACCTTGAAATTAGGTGAAATTTTGACCAAATTTTGCGGCTTTGCCGCACGTAAACCGTGACAGTTATAAAAAAAAATCAGCTAACTTTAGATGTTCCACTTGTCTAGATGATGTACGGTGATTTTCAGCCCTGTGGGTGAAGCGCCTTCAGAGGAGTTCGTTCAAACGCAACGTCAGCGAAAACGCGGACTCAAATTTCAATCCAAGATGGCCACCTTCTGGTGTGTCAGGGGGCGTGGCCATAATAATATTTTTTGTTTGTCTTTACATGACGAATGTATGTACCAAATTTTGTGGCTGTATGACAAAGTTGACCGGGACGTCTCCCATAGGCGCGAAATTTTTGCGTTTTCCAGGTGGCGCTGTGTCGCCATTTTTTTAAGCCCGTGCACGAAACCTATATTTTATCGAATTTTTCGCCACTTCTGAATATTGTGCCAAGTTTGGTGAGTTTTTGAACGTGTTTAGGGGGTCAAATTAGAGCTCAAAGAGCAGAAGAAATAAAAATAAAAAATAATTAAAAGCCGCAAGCGGCGTCGAACGGCCCTCGCCCGCCGCGAACGCCGCGCCCGCGAACGCCGCGCCCGCGAACGCCCGCCGAACGCCATGCCCGCAAATAGTGTGCCCCGCCAACACCATACCGTAAACGCCGTGTCTGCAAACTCTGGGCCTACAAATGGCAAAATGACATAGTGCACCTTTAGATGTTCTTTGCACCCCCTACTGGCCAACCTTGAAAAATTCCCATGTCAGCAATATATGTTTTTTGTTCTAGTCATTAATAGAATTTAATTCCCAAATTTGGTGCAGATCCGACAATGTTGATGTTTCATGTCTATGCTAGGGGGCGCTATAGTGTTTTTTCATATGTTTTATAGTGTATTATATTCAGACTGAGATCACACATTAGTGATTCAAATTTCAACACGATCGGACTAAGTATGGGAACAGGAGCAAATAATGTCACCTTGAAATTCGCCAAAACTTTGACCAAATTTTGCAGCTTCGCCGCACGTAAACCGTGACAGTTATCAAAAAAAATCAGCTAACTTTAGATGTTCCACTTGTCTAGATGATGTACGGTGATTTTCAGCCCTGTGGGTGAAGCGCCTTCAGAGGAGTTCGTTCAAACGCAACGTGAACGAAAATGCGGACTCAAATTTCAATCCAATATGGCCGCCTTCTGGTTTGTCAGGGGGCGTGGCCATAATAACATTTTTTGTTTGTCTTGACATGACGAATGTGTGTACCGAATTTCGTGGCTGTATGACAAAGATGACGGGGACGTCTCCCATAGGCGCCAAATTTTTGAGTCTTTGCGCCCCTGCTGGCCAACACTGAAAATGGTATCATGTCCATAATATAATTTTTTGCTCGTTATCATGCATAGAATTTAATTCCCAAATTTGGTGCAGATCTGACTATGTTGACGTTTCATGTCTATGGTAGGGGGCGCTATAGTGTTCACTTTTCATATGTTTTATAGTGTATTATATTCAGACTGAGATCACACATTAGTGATTCAAATTTCAGCACAATCAGACTAAGCATGTGCGTGTAATATATTTTTTTCTATTTTTGGGAGGAGTTTTAGCGCCCCTGCTGGCCAACAGTGAAAAATTCGCCATGTCCATAATATACTTTTTTGCTCGTAATTATGCATAGAATGTAATTCCTAAATTTGGTGCAGATCTGATAATGTTGACTTTCATGTCTATGCTAGGGGGCGCTATAGTGTTTTTTCATATGTTTTATAGTGTATTATATTCAGACTGAGATCACACATTAGTGATTCAAATTTCAGCACGATCGGACTAAGTCTGTGCGAACAGGAGCAAATAATGTCACCTTGAAATTAGCCGAAATTTTGACTGAAATTTGCGGCTTCGCCGCACGTAAACCGTGACAGTTATCAAAAAAAATCAGCTAACTTTAGATGTTCCACTTCTGTAGATGATGTACGGTGATTTTCAGCCCTGTGGGTGAAGCGCCTTCAGAGGAGTTCGTTCAAACGCAATGTGAACGAAAACGCGGACTGAAATTTCAATCCAAGATGGCCGCCTTCTGGTTTGTCAGGGGGCGTGGCCATAATAAAATTTTTTGTTTGTCTTGACATGACAAATGTGTGTACCGAATTTGGAGGCTCTACGACAAAGTTGACGTCGGGACGTCTCCCATAGGCGCAATGTATTTTGACTTTTCGAGGTGGCGCTGTGTCGCCATTTTTTTATGCCCGTGCACGAAACCTATATTTTATCGAATTTTTCGCCACTTCTGAATTTTGGGCAAAGTTTGGTGAGTTTTTGAACGTGTTTAGGGGTCAAAATTAGAGTTCAAAGAGCAAAAATAATAAAAAATAATAATAATAATAATAATTCGAGCAAAAACAATATATCCGAAAACTTTAGAACAACATATTATACGTTTTTTGAAAGCTCTCGACCTTCCCCACGTCACCGTGGGGTCATTGGTGAGTGACGGCACTGACCGCTCGTCATTTGCCATCTCGTCGAGGTCACCCATCGCCTTCCATTGACTTCCATTCATTTTAGCAGTAGTAATATGAGCCAGGCCTTGGCGTGGGTTACTGGGATACTGCTGTTCGTGCCGGGGGCGACCGTGACATAGTTGCATGTGTCTTGTCGCATTCGGACATGCGCAGTCCCTTCCCATTTTGAGGAAGCAATAGGCCCTACGCCCTGTCGGGGCTCGGGCCTAATAATAATTTTAGCAAAAACAATATATCCGAAAACATTAGAACAACATATTATACATTTTTTGAAAGCTCTCGACCTTCCCCACGTCACCGTGGGGTCATTGGTGAGTGACGGGCGCGTCTGGACCATCTCGCTGGGGTCGCCCTCTGACCTCCCATTGACTTCCATTCATTTTAGCAGTAGTAAATATGGCTCAGGCCTTGGCGTGGTTTACTGGATACTGCTGTTTGTGCCGGGGCGACCGTGGACATAGTTGCATGTCGTCTTGTCGCATTCGGACATGCGCACGTCCCTTCCCATTCGCTCCGCTGAGCGGAAGCAATAGGCCCTACGCCCTGTCGGGGCTCGGGCCTAATTTGAGCAAAAACGATATATCCATTAACATGGGAATAGCATATTTTATCTTTTTTGAAAGCTCTCGACCTTCCCCACATCACTGTGGGGTCATTGGTGAGTGACGGGCACTGACGCGCTCGTCATTCACCATCTCGTCAGGGTCGCCCCATGACCTCTCATTGACTTCCATTCATTTTAACAGTGATAAATATGGCTCAGGTCTTGGGCGTGGGTTACTGGGATACTGCTGTTCATGCCGGGGGCGACCGAGGACAGAGCTGCACCACATCCTCTCGCATTCGCCCGTGTGCTCGTCGTTGCCCACTCACTCCTTGTAGCGAAAGCAATAGGCCCTACGCCCTGTCGGGGCTCGGGCCAAAATATGATAAAAATAAATGTGTGTCTTTGGTGTCGAGTGCAAACACAGCGGCTCTACCAGTTCGGAGCAGCCCAGTGCAGAACCTTTAATGCCATTTCGAATCCAAGAAAACAAGCCTGAAACAAGACAAAATAATATTTGATTTTAATAATCATATTATGATAAAACTGTCACACAAAGGTATTGCCACATGTGTCAGCACAAACAAACTAAGGTGAAATCATTTTGTTTAAATGGCTATAAAAAAGTTCACCCTGCACAGAAAAAGATGGATTCTCTGATATTTATATGACCAATCAAATCACAGCATTGAGGTTTGTGCAGAAGTCAAAGGCAAAGAGCACAGATGAACCAAAACACACATGGCGACACAGACAAACGTACTTCAGTCTGTTTTAGCGTCAGTACAGACTGTTTAGTTTGTGAAAACAGAAGGAAGAGCTTTTTGCATTTGTGGAAGAATATGTTTGTATTTTCTCTCAAATGGACTGAACTCAAGTTTGATTATTTGGCTTGTTTGTTGTAACACTTTGACTAAACAGATTCAAATAGTCGTCATGATGTTTTGTTGTTTCCAATCACTTTCAGAGAGATGTGTGACTCATTTCCTAATTAATAATAAGTTTCAGTATTTGTAGATTCTATTTTGGCTTTTTCTTTCAAAAAATCTCCCACATTGTTATACAAGGCCCTTTTCTCTGTTTCAAATGATGACATCAAATTTAAAGAGGGGTATTAACTGCTAACACAGAACAGATTTAGACCTCTTCAGAATATATATATATATATATATATATATATATATATATATATATATATATATATATATATATATATATATATATATATATATATATATATATATATTTGATTCTTTGAGCCTCTCCTTCCTTTGCTCTCCACGTTTAGTCACTCCCCCTTTGGAGCGCTATCACAACACTAACGCAATGCTAATAAAACAACTGCACATGGCCTAGGCTCTAAAATGCATTCTTTTGTTGCAGCTATAAAAAGGCAAAGGTATGTGAAAATAATAATGCAATGATCCTTTAACTAGTCCCACATTGGTCCCTTTCTAAACTCACAGCGTTGGCGGGGAAGGCTCGCAGGAACACAGCGTTGAAGCCTGTATAAAGAGCTCTAGGCCCTTCCTCCTTCAGCAGAGTCCGGAGCACGTCCACCAGACCACGGTACTTCCCATCCGCCGCTGCAAACACACACAACCTTCAGACTCATTCCACAAATATTAGAGTGAAATCCACTGTCAAACCCTCTGGGAAAAAGTCTGTGCTGATTTAAGGAACCAACTAACTACTGCAGTTCTACAGCAGTGAATTATGGACTAAACCAGGACTAAACATCATTGAACATCACTGTCAAATTTGCTGATGACACGACAGTGGTGGGGCTGATAACACAGGGGAATGACGTTCCTACAGAGATGAGGTCCAGAAACTCAGCGAGTGGTGTGCAGCTAACAACTTGGCACTGAACATCACCAAGACTAAGGAACTCATCCTGGACTTTCAGAGGAACAGAGCCCCCCTGCCCCCTGTACATCAACAGCCAAAGTGTGGAGCGAGTGGAGACCTTCAAATTCCTTGGAGTTCACATCTCTGCGTATCTCTCCTGGTCAGTCAACACCTCAGCACTGGTCAAAAAGGCCCAACAGCACCAACACTTCCTGCTCAGGAAGGAGCAACTAAACACAAGCTGCTGGTGACCTTCTATCATTCCACCATTGGTCACCTGCTGACCTCTGCTGTGACAGTGTGGCACTCTACCTGCACAGAGGCCGACAGGAAGCTTCTGCAGAGGGTCACCAACACTGCACAGGACATTATTGACTGCCAGCTGTCTTCCTTAACCACGTTATACAACTCTCGCTGTCTCAGCAGAGCGAGGAAAATCATTAAAGACAAAACACACCCTGGATCCACCTGTTCAACCTGCTGCCTTCTGACAGGTGCTTCAGGTCAATACCAGTTAGGACCAACAGACTCAGGGACAGCTTCTTCCCCAAAACTGTCACCAGACTTAATGAGAACTGTTGATTTGTTTTATTTGTTAATTGTTGATTCTTGCACTTTAACGGAGCACCTCTGAATTTCATTATACTACTGTATAATGACAATAAAGACTTTCTGTTCTATTCTGTTCTGTTCTAAACCCAGACTAAGGCTGTGTTCACACTGGTACAAACCACATCAGAACTGGACGTAAAAAGGACTGAGCCTGGAACCTTAACCTGGATTAGAACAAGACCAAACCAGGACTACATCAGGACTAAACTTGGCTCAAATCAGGACCAAGACTCCAACAGGATTCAAAGTGTGGACATGATTAAAGTTTTGGTGCTTCGTGCACTCAGCGGCAGGAGCAGAAGGAGTTCTGACCGGTCTGGAAGTTGGACTTGAGCACATCTGGAGGCAGAGCAATGATCCAGTTCAGGATCCCGGCAACGCCCCCGGCCAGGATGATCTTTGGAGTGGTCAGCTCAGACACACTGTAACACACACACACACACACACACACATGATGAAGCAAATGCACTACAGGCCTAAAGTCTGGGTCTATCCCTGACCTTTGACCCCATCACTGACCTTTGACCCTCTGGAGTCAGCATGTTCTTGAGGTATTCATAAGTGAGGAAGTACAGGCCGGAAGAAGGCACATCTGAAACCACACAACACAGAGAGAATGTTTACACAACCACAGAAAGATGATTTACACCTGACTATTTTAACCAGGACTAAACCAGGACTAAACCAGGACTAAACCAGGACTAAACCAGGACTAAACCAGGACTGAAACAGGACTAAACCAGGACTAAACCAGGACTAAATCAGGTCTAAACCAGGAATAAATCAGGTCTAAACCAGGACTAAACCAGGACGAAATCAGGTCTAAACCAGGACTAAACCAGGACTAAACCAGGTCTAAACCAGGACTAACTCAGGTCTAAACCAGGACTAAACCAGGTCTAAACCAGGACTAAACCAGGACGAAATCAGGTCTAAACCAGGACTAACTCAGGTCTAAACCAGGACTAAACCAGGACTAAACCAGGACTAAACCAGGACTAAACCAGGACTAAACCAGGACTAAATCAGGTCTAAACCAGGACTAAACCAGGACTAAACCAGGACTAAACCAGGTCTAAACCAGGACTAAACCAGGACTAACTCAGGTCTAAACCAGGACTAAACCAGGACTAAACCAGGACTAAACCAGGTCTAAACCAGGACTAAACCGGGACTAAACCGGGTCTAAACCGGGACTAAACCAGGACTAAACCAGGACTAAACCAGGACTAAACCAGGTCTAAACCAGGACTAAATCAGGTCTAAACCAGGACTAAACCAGGACTAAATCAGGTCTAAACCAGGACTAAACCAGGTTTAAACCAGGCCTAAACCAGGACTAAACCAGGACTAAACCAGGACTAAACCAGATCTAAACCAGGTCTAAACCCAGTGGTTGTACCTCTGATGAGTGTGAGGACAGTCCCTTTATAAATGCTCCTGATGCCGTGCTCTTTGTACAGTCTGACAGCACAGTCCACTGGCCCGGAGTACCTCACCTGTCCACTGCTCGCCTGCACCTGCACAAGAGGACCGGGTTTGGTTTTGGTTTTGGTCAAATTGTGATTTTTCGGACAATATAGAGATAATATTTGCAATTTTTCTAAAGCGCATCCAGGAACAAATGCATTTGACAAAAGAATGAGGAGAAATCAGAACTGTTATTCTAATACAAGAACTGGACTAAACTAAAACTAAACCAGGACCAAACCAGGACCAAACCAGGACTAAACCATGACTGAACCAGGACTGAACCAGTACTGTATAGAAGCCATTTTGACCTTTTATTTGTTGCCTGCCTGTTGTTTTGTCCTCCATCCACAGTGTGGTGCCCTCCTGAACATATTTAAGGGCCAAGAAGGCAGCCACAGGAGCTGCTGATCAGGGTCAAAATGTGTTTGACCGCATTGTTTGTATTGTAGAATATGTGGATGACATTGGTAAGCCAGTAAAGGACTAAGAATTTATCTGTGGATTTATATCACAAGTGTGTCAGAACAACTTTAAATCAGTAGCCAGGTGCCCAGTGGCATAGGACCACTGACTGCTACAACTACTACATCAAAACCACTGTTGGACAAGTGACTTTAAAACTGTAATGTGTTCTTTATGACTTGTTACTGTGATTTCAAAGTAATTAGTTACATTACAATATTACTGTATTTAAAATGTAAAACATTACAGGACTATTGCAGCACTTTTAAATTACTCTCACCAAAAGAACTGTGAAGATGCTTAAGTTTTGTATATGGACTGAACCAGGACTGAACCAGGTCTAAACAAGAACTAAACCAGGACTAAACTAGGATTAAGCTTGGACTAGAACTTGGAATCTAGGACCCATGGAACATGGTGTCTGCAAGGCGCGATTGGGCATTGGCTGCTCTTTGTCCTGTGGAGCGTGAAGTTCTGTGTCGGTCCTTTCGCTCGCAGTCACCTGACGGTCTGTGTGGGTGTGTCTCTGGTGTTTCACCTCTGCTGATATCTCTGTAATTTTAGCACATTTGTATGGAAAAAAAAAACACCATTTCAGTCCAGGTTAAAAAAAAGCATTGTGACGTGCGTTACTCACATTTGTACTGAGTAAATATTACTATTTTTTCCCCTGTAATGCCACATTACTGCAATACAGCAAAAAGCAACACATACAGTAATTTGTTGCTTTTATAACGTGTTACTCCCAACACTGATCAGAACTAAACCAGAACTAAACCGGAACTGAACCAGGACTAAACCAGGACTGTGAATCTTACAATAGAAAAGATGAGCCACTGTGACCTTGTGTGTGCAGTCCCCTGGGCAGGTGCACACTTCTCACAACATGTGTATGAGTAAAGGTTTAGCAGGCTCTTTGTTTTTCCTTTAAACAGACTGCTTTACAAACATAAGCCATAACTAAAGGTGCATTGTGTAACTTTTTCCAGTGGAGACCCATCAAATCCTTTTCTTTCTTTGTTATATTTGTTATTTGTCTGCATTATTTCACACTATCTTCACAGAGACCAAACCAGACTAGGTATTTGAGCTATAAAACCATCTGTAATCGAATAAATGTAAAGTAGAGCTGTTTAATGTCACACTGTGGAACATTCCAGACAGAACAATGACATATCCACAGAAACAAGCAGGTGACGGACCCCCAATTGAAAAGTGACCTAGTGCAGCTTTAAAACAAGTTCTGTACCTGGAGTAAACATTTGATCCTTTCTCCTGGAACGACGATGGTGGTGGTGAAGACTCCGGCCAGACACCCCGAGAGGAAGAGCTGAGAGGGTCTGAGGAGGACACCACACTATTAAAAGGACATTTTATGATCAACCCAGAAGACATATTATGCATTTGTGTGGCTCTAATTCTCTGTTAACATGCTTTTGGACACCTTGGGATCAGTATTTCACATTTCTTCACATAACTTAAAAGTGCACTGTCACTTTTTGGCTGGGGGTCCCTCACCTGCTTGGTTTTATGGAGATGTCATTGCTCTGTCTGGAATGTTCCATAGTATGACATTAAAAAGCTCTACTTTACATTTATTCAGTTATTATTATCGGACTGTGAGCAGGGTTGCCTCTCCACAGATCTGACCTGTAACTTGGTCTACTTTGGTCTCCATGGAGATAAAAACGAAGCAGACGAAGCAATAACATCTCCAAAGCTTTTGACGGACCCTCCTCCAGAAAAGTTGCACAATGCAGCTTTAAAATCAACAAATGACGCCATAATAAACAAATGATGAACGAGTCTGGAGTTTTATCTGTGACGCAACAATCTGAGCAATTCTGAGGCTCAGAGAAGACAACTTTGGCTGAATAGATTCATGAAGCACGTGAATGAAACAAAATACAACTACAGGTTTGCTCCAAAAATTATTGTTTTGATGTTTATGGTAGTGATGATAAGATGAAGTCCCATGAAGCACTGAAGTGTACAAAAAATGTATAACAGCCAGAGTGATAATAGAACAATCAACATGATCATCATGGTTCTGGTGGAAAGATTTATACTGAACAAATGAATTATTAAATATTTCAGTGTTTGTGATATCAACATAAATTGTGAATTTATTAACCTGGAGTCTGTGTTCATGATATAACGGTCATTTTAAAAGAAAAAGTAGGAACAAATTGGAGACAGGGCTGTAATGTGACTGTGCTTGTGTTTCTACTTTATGGCTGTGCTTATGCGACAATAAGGACAGCAAAATAGAGTAATTTTATTCATTTTTATTTAAAAATATAAATATAAAAATATAAAATATAAATTTCTCCACAGTATTTGGATTCAGACGGTTTCTTTTTTTACAGAGAATTTCCCCTGCTTTTGAAAAAAACCTTTCCCAGCGCACAGATGAAGCAGGCGTGCAGAGAAAAGCCACTTGCTGGCTCCATTGCAACAAAAAAAAAAAAAAGAATCTCAAATAGAATGTACCAAACTTGCAATAACCTAAATCCATAAATTGTGAAGGGACATCCCTTGCATTTCTTTGGCCTTTATGTTTCAAATCACGCACCAAATCCGCGAACCACCTCCTGAAGCAGTCACGTGGAACAGGCGGTTCACGAGGCTTCGAACGTCACCACATGTCACCGATATAAGCCTCGATACGCACTTCACCAAAGCCTTCCTGGATTACTCGGCACATGCTTCGAAGCCTCGACATGGACGACACATCACTAGTTTATGGTTAATATCTGTGTAATTACCAGCCTGTCCATAGGAAATAAAAACTGGCACATAGTTCAGCCTCTTCTCCATCAAAATAAATAAACTGCTTCAGAAAGTGGTGCCATTATTCAACCCCAAAGATGTGAGTGTTGTTAGGTGAAAAGACTTTAGGACATAAGATTAACAAGACAAGTTTGAGGAGCTGATCAAACGTTTGGAGATTTATTTGAAGTGTAACAGACTTATCCATCCTCCTGCCCTCCATCTGAAATTATGACGTCATCAAATACTAGAACGTGAATACTGACCATAGCAGAGTACCCCGGGGGGCCAGGACGCCGCTGGAGGTCAGAAACATGAGCTGGGGGAGTGAAGGGGGAGTGAAGGGGGTGTGTGGCTCCAAATAAACCAATGAGGACGGAGGGTTAGGTCACACTAAGGTTATAAGAGAGCTCAGATTTCCTGGACCGTAAGCAACACAAACATATCACGCCACAATTCATTTATGATGACAAGGGTATAAATAAGACATACAGCTAATGAGACATGGATTAAAGACTAATGTACTAAAGACATTAAACCAGGACTAAACCAGGTCTAAACCAGGACTAAACCAGGTCTAAACCAGGACTAAACCAGGACTGAATCAGGGCAAAACCAGGGACTGACACAGGACTAAACAACGGCTATACCAGGACTAAACCAGGACAGAAATGTGACTAAACAACGGCTAAACTAAGACTAAACCCAACACTGAAACAGGACTTAACCAAGAATAAACCAGGACTAAACCAGGGCTAAACTAGCCTATAAAAGAATCTGTTGGAAGTCCAATTCCCCCAGAAACCACAGTCATCTGTAACATTTTAGGTTACATGGTGTGAACTCATATGAACCTGACCTGACTACACTGTGATCACATCCTCACCACACACACAACAGGCCGGCTGCAGGTACCCCGCCTCATATGAATAAATAAAAAATCCAACAGTAGACATTACTAAACTGGGTCTAAATCAGAACAAAGCCACAGCTGTCCTGGGGTAAACTGATGGAAACAAGGCTGCCCGTCTGCATCATCATCAGGGAAGGTGAGCCAAAGGACACGGCGGCAGCCTGTGCTAGTTCAAAGTGGGACTAAATGTTGGTGTTCTAGCCTGGACCCATTGTTGAGAATTAGATGAGAACTAAACCAGGTCTAAAAAGAACTACACCAGGTCTATACCAGGTCTGAACTAGGACAGTCTAAACCTTGTCTACATGAGTACGTAGATGATCCTTACGTGAGGGCCTGGTTGGGCTCAGGCTGCTGCAGCTGTTTGCCGAGTGCAAAGCCAAAGAAGCTGATGGCCATAATGGGAGCCACGCTCAGCAGAGGAGCCCCCATGCCTCTGTACAGGCCCAGCAGACCCTGCAGGGGTGGAGCAGAGGGAAGAACAGGCATCATACAGAGACACAGAACATAGACTGAATAAAGAAGTGGACTGGGGGAGTGCGACGTCACCCACAGAGTTCTGCTCCAGTCAAATGAAGCTCATCAAGGCCACAGTGAATTTGGAGATGAGTTCTATATTTGGAAGTCCAACCGAGAGTAGCAAGCAAAGAGCCAATCAGGAGTGGAGCTGTTGAGGGTAACGCCCCTTCCATAGAAATACCGTCAATCAAACCTATTGCTAACACTAGAGGGAGTGACCTCGGGGAAAGAGGGCAGATCATTGGTCTGTTATTAATGTCATGAGTGTAGAATCCCTCAGTCGTCCAGGTAGAATCCAGGGCAAAGGAGAAATTCAATTTATCATCTGGCCAAAAGTTTATGTAGGTTGAAAACTTTTCTCAGCTCATCCAAGCTGCTTGTTCAGTTGTGGTCAGACGCTGGTGGACACTGTCTTCTATCTGCTGCAGGAGGAGCTAACTACACTGAAACTCCTCTGAAACTAACACACACACTTGTTTACACTTTCTGTTTATTAGATAGGCCTATTCATCTGCACTGAGTGTGGGGACATAATAGCAGAATCATTCAGAATTATTCTGTGAGTAACGTTTGAACAGCTTTGTATGAATAAAAGTTCAAACATTACGAGACGTCCTGGGAAAGTAAATTCTCTTATTGTTTTAATTAGATGTAAACGATTCCCGATCTTGATATTCAATACTTGTGTCTATCTGACTGTATTACAAATAAACAGCACAGATCCAGACACAAACCCTGCAGGTGTTCAGAGGAGAGGTCAGATAAACATTCGCTCTGGTGTGAGTTTGTTACCTCTTTGGAGACGGTCTTCTTGAAGCAGTCATAGGTCCCACTGTAGAGCACATACTGAGGGCCTTTGGGCTGAGTCTGCAGACGCACCTGCACAAAAGGAGCACAGTGCTTCAGGTTAGGGCTGAGGCAGGAAAAGCTTCACCATTTCTTTTTTGAATAACAGAATAACATTACTTTAATGTGCATTGTATATCTTTTCTCCTTTTCTCCATGGAGATGTTATTACTTTGTCTGGAAAGTTTCACAGTATGGCATTAAACCTTTCTATCTTCATGGAGACCAAACCAGACCAAATTCCTTCCCCATCTGTTTTAAGCTATAAAACCACCTGTAATTGAATAAATGTAAGGTAAAACTGTTTAATGTCACTGTGGAACATTCCAGCCAGAGCAGTGATGATTCCAAAGAAACAAGCAAAAAGTTACACAGTGCACCTTTACATAATGGTTTCACACACGTACAAATCAGAGACATGACCATCATGACCACTTAACTCAAAAATAGTCAAAGTTTTCCTCCATCAGTCTCACCCTGGTTTACTGACAAATGGAACTCTTAGACACGACTGAATTTTGATTTTGATTTTGATTCATTGTTCCAAACTACATCAGGTCAATCCATAAAAAGTATGTCTGCTTCTTCTGTCCACTGGGGAAACGTTCACTTACCAAGCAGCTTCTTTTGGTCTTTGGTTTGTGGAGCAATAAAAATCTTGATTTTTTTCTTTTAAGTAGAGTAGACAGTGTTTATTTGTTTTGTCAGAAATGCATTTATAGAAATATATACAAAGGGACTTCACACACACACACACACACGCGCACACACACACACACACACACACACACGCAGGCCTGGTGAAATAACCTGGGACCCTTTTGCTGTGAGGTGACTGTGCTTTGCTGCCTCACTTTAAGTGAGCATTAAATTATGAGAAGTCATGTGTTATTCAGTTTTATCGCATGTTGTGGAGTTGTAGACGGAAACTTTACACAGGAGGGCGGCGCCAGCCCATATTGCAGAAATAATATAGAAGAAAAAAATTACTTTTGGAAAATGTATTTTTTGGGCCCATGAGCTAAAAAGCAAAGGCCACTGAAAACAATATGACGCCATGTTGGGTTCACCTTCAGATTTTATTAAACTGTTGCCAAAACTACTTGTGCAGCATTAACACACACAGTTACTCATTGGATTTCTCACTGACCGTGGCAGAACTGCATTAAAATGATGGGATATCTGTGCCATTATCTGTTTATCCATTTCTAATATTATTTATGAACTAATCCTCATTTGAAACAGGACGAGTGGCAGTGGGAGATAGTGTTAGAAAAGGTAGAGCACAGCAGTTACAGAGATAAAGACTCACCCACTAGGCCACGCCTCCTCTGTCTGATAAAGAACACATATTACAGAAATGATCAGCTCACAGTCAAACAGGGATGATGTGATAGTAATAAAGTCTAAGGGACTTTTTACAATAATACACCTTTAATATTGTGACAAGCAGGTGAAGTAAAAGCCATTACAGTTCATCCATCTTCTTCTGTCTAAGCAGGGACTCCCAGACTTCCTTCACCCCAGACACGTCCTCCAGCTCCTCCAGGGGAACCCCGAGGTGTTCCCAGGCCAGCCCAGAGACATAGTCCCTCCAGCGTGTCCTGGGTCTTCCCCGTCACCTCGTCCCGATGGGACATGCCTAGGAGGCATCTGGAACAGATGCCCTCCTCTCAGCTGCTCCTCTCAACACAGAGGAGCAGCGGCTCTACTCCACGCTCCTCCTGTGTGACTGAGCTCCTCACCCTATCTCTAAGGTAGCACCCAGACACCCTGCGGAGGAAACTCATCTCGACTGCTTGTATCCGCGATCTTGTCCTTCGGTCATTACCCAGAGCTCATGATCACAGGTGAAGAGAGGAACGTAGATTGAGCAGTAAACGGAGTCTTCGCTTTGTCTTTCTGTTCAGCTCCTCTTCACCACAACAGTCCGATACAGCGACCGCATCACTGCCGACACTGCACCGATCCACCTGTCAATCTCACGATCCATCTCTCCTCACTCGTGAACAAGACCCCAAGATACTTGACCTCCTCCACTTGAGGCAGGGACACCCCACCCACCTGGAGAGGACAAGACACCTTTTTCCAGTCAAGAACCATGGCCTCGGACTTGGAAGAGCTGATCCTCATCCCAGCCGCTTCACACTCGTCACATTACAGTTCAGTACATTAGTATTCACTCACACACTCTACACTCTCCAAGCTGCTTCTGAAGCCACATCTGCCCTGGGACAGACTAACTGAAGTGAGGGTACTGGTCTGCACCATTGGCCCCACAGAGTACCAACACTCACACATACGATGAGGAATGAATGGGGAAAATGTCGAATTGTGATTTCTCTGACATTTTCAAGCATTGTGAAAGATAACAGGAGAGTTCAAAGTTTACGAGTTCAGGAGAGTTGACAAAGAGACTGAACTCTGAACTCACAAATGAATACAAGAATCACGTTTCAGAACAGGGTTGTGCAGATCTAAACTACAGGCTGAGCAGTTTTTAAGCAGAATAAAACAGGAGAAATTGTTCTAGTGGAGGCAATGATGGTACTTCAAAAACTGCGACCTTTGTGACATACAGGGGAGGGCATCTGACATACAGGGATTTGCTAACTGTGTCCACTCAAACTGTGATTTCGATGTGATTATGCTTGATTATTGATCTCCACACACACCACGTTCACACTGGGTGAGGTGGTGAAGTGTCTTGCCCAAGGACACAACAACACTACGCACCGGTTTGGACTGGTTACTGAACCTCGGCCGCCTCAGAAGCTCTTCATAAATCTAACAGACGTTTTTCTCTTGCGCGTGAAGCACAGAAGCACCAGGCGTCTCTCTAAGAATAGAAATACCAAAAAAGAGTCTCACAAGTCCAACAGAGCACGAGTCTGAGAGCCGCTCTGTCCTTTTCAGACTCCAGAGGAACTCAAAGCTCCTAAATCACACTAGATGGACTCATGGGAGCTTTTAAAGGTTCACTGTGGGGTCTTCTACCTGCTTGTATCCATGGAAATGTTATCGCTTTGTCTAGAAGAGTGATTCTTAACCACAGGGCGAGTGCCACCTAAAGGGCCACAAAAAACTTTCAGTTTTGCTCCAATGGACCGTGAGGGTCAGGGGAGTGCACCAGGATTGCTAACTGCCGGACCGTGTTCCGAGTCCGGACGCCATTTCATAGACCCGGACAGGGTCAGCCTGATATTCTCCGTACCTCTCCGTTACAGCAGTACTCTACATTACAGCTCAGATCTTGTATTTTTGAAATCGAGAGTCCTGTAATGACTAAACACTAGATGGATGCTAGATATTTAAAGTAAAGATGTAGCAATAACCAAAATATCATGATATTGTACCATCAAAACTCTCACAATAATATCGTGGACTGTCACTATATATCCAGGTTTTTCACTTAAAAGTATTAAAAAAGAGGGAACTGCATAGGCCTGATCCTTTACTTAATTTACTACATAATAAAATATAATAACTGTTATTAAGAACTTAAATCTTACTTCTTTGGAATATGACAGTAATGATCCACACTGAAGACTGGTGAAGGGATTTAAAAATATAAAAAATGAGCTGTTTTATGTTATTAGGTTCTTTTTTCAGACCTAGAGTTTGTTTTCATACCTGACAGTTTCGACTCTTCACTAGCGCTCTTCCTCAGAGTGTCACGTGATGTTGCTGTGACGTGTCTGGTCAGATGATTTAAACAGGTTTTGGCGCTGTCTTTCTACCGGTGGAGCAGCAACATCACGTGACACTCTGAGGAAGACCGCACACCGATCAAGCGGCAAGTGAAGAAGAAGAGCTACAACTTGAAAAGTAAAGGAACGGAGAAGTTGGAAACGTAAGTAAAAGTAACTTATTGTTTTATCATTATTCGTTTCACGTTGTAGTTCTTCTTCTTCACTTGCCGCTTGATCGGTCCCGCTGCCACTTCCGTTGTGGCTTTTTAATGTGTTGTGGCTTTTTAATGTGTTGTGGCATTTGTGTTTGTGTTGTGGCGTTTGTATTTGTTGCGGCGTTTGCATTAAAATAGAGTCCCACGGTCATTTCTGTTGTGGCTTTTTTTGGTGTGTTGTGGCTTTTTGTTGTGTTGTCGCATTTGTATGTGTTGTGGCGTTTGCGTTTGTTGTGACCCCTCTCGGCTTCCGTAGTTTAGAATCGGCTGCAGCAACAGAAGAATACGTTAAAGAGTAATAAAAAAGCTTGTAATTCAATAAACTGTGATGGACCGCCACCATTTTTCAGTTAATGTTCAATGTTTAAAGTTCCACTGAGATGAAATTACAAAACAAGGCCAGGACTGAAAGTGCTTAGTGCCCGAGGAGTGACATGTCCTTACTTAGCCTGCCCTTTGACCTTTCCTCCGGGTGGTGCTGTTCCTTGAAAGCTGCAAGGCCTAAAAGCAAATCTGCTACTGTCCAAATGAGCCACAGCTACTGCACATATTTACAGGTGCACCATGTCACTTTCTGCACTTTTCTATGGATATAAAATTACTCTGCCTGGAATGTTCCACAGTGTGACATTAAACAGATCTATCTAACATTTACTTCAATTAATTAGGTGGTTTTACAGTTCAAAAATAGCTTGACATTCTGATTGTGAGTGGGGTCGCCTCTCCACAGATCTGACCTGTACCTTGGTCTGGTTTGGTCTCCATGACAATAAAAGGTTTAATGCTGTCCTGTGAAATAAATCTGTGCAATTAATTGAATTTTGGATGTAATTTCGATTTGTGTGTCAAACGATCTCCAAACTCATAGAATCGAGTCAGAATGAAAGCTTAAAAAAAGTTTAAGTATAATTATTTTATTTTTTAATATAGAGATTAAATATAAGAGATTATTATAATTAAATATAGAGATTGTAGAACAGCTGGATATAGTTTCATTTGGAGACATTTATGTTTTTCTGCCTTATTTCATGTTCAAAGTTTATTTTATTCATTTTATGTCTTATAAAACTGCTCTAAGGTTCAGATTTGTAGCTGATATTTAGTCTCAATTTGAAAGTTGTGTGTA